GTCCGAATAGCAAAAGCCCCGGGAATCAGCTACTCGCAGTCTAGCCCGTAAGGCTCAAACCCACTTGCATCGGGACGTAAAACTCGAAGATTTCTCCTGCTTGCTCTTTGAAAGTTGTACGATAGTCGTGGATACCTCCTGCCAGTGCTTCCGAATAAGTATTCACCTTCACCTGGAGCATATACCAAAATTCGAACCCAAGACTCCTCCCATTGTTCAATTTCAATACCTTATCCGTAGAAAAAGCTTCGCAGCGATCTTTAACGGGACTGCGTCGCAATATATCTACCTCAGTACCTACCGACCTACCTCTTTACCTGAATTCTCCGTCGACGGTGAAAAATGTTACCTGAGATCCACGGCCCGAAGTTTAAGATATGGCAATTTCAAGGATAAGGTCGTTTACATCTATGCATTTAGATTAGGACTCGTCCGAACTACAGGGCTGACCAAGGGCTGACTTCGGCAGGATACGATCGAAGGGTGCGGACTTTTACGGCGATACGGAGTGATCTTGAGTTCATTTCCTTAGCGCATCGAGTTTCATCTAAAAAAATCTGCAAGCTGGTTCGATCACGCCTTCAAGCAATCTGGGTGTTTCGGCGTGTCGATATGGAGCTCGTACTGGTCTGTACTGGTTATGATGGACCGCAACTTAATCTGGAGTCAAAAAAAACACAAAGTTCGTCGCTCGGCAGCTACACACGATCAACGTCAGTTGAATTTCCTTCTGCGAGCAGATTTCCAACACAGCCCCAGTATCCATCGTGGCATACCGGAACACCGTGCTCCCAAATTAAGAATGGCTAGTCTATAACATTAGTACATTTATTCTCTAAGTAACGCCAAAAGAAAATTCAAAGCTGCTGCGCTACACTCTCCGAGCGAGTTTCCTCTTCCTCAAGCGCCTCCTCTACCGACGAGGGCCGCTGGTTACGGTTGCCTTGCGTCTGGCTGCTAGTACCTTTGCTTTCCGTTGCTCGCGCCACTGCTGTCCCCTTCCAGTCCGCCGACGCCACGATAGAGTTCGATGTAGGTGTCTTCCCGCGCAGGGCGCGCAGTGCGCTGAAGAATGACTTGGTGGAGTAAATTAAAATTTCACGATGGGTAAGGAAGGTTGAGACGCACGGGATCTGTGGCGGCGAGGAGGGCGTACAGGATGGGGCGGAGGGAGTGTACCAAGATGTCTGAGGTGCAAATGAAAATGTCGATGAACAACCGCCCAGAATATTTACTATGTATAAACGGACCTAGTATCTGCAAGTCGAGATCCTATGTGGACCAGGTCAGAGGTGAGTATGTATCGAGCGTTGAACAGCCCCGAGTTCGAAACGCACAGAATTTGTGAGGACCATGGTGTGCTGTATAATGTATAAGTCGAGGATACACGATGTGATACTGATGAAAGAGGAGAATAGCGAGTAGAGAGCTGCATTGGAATGCGAGAAGCAGAAATCAACATGTTGTCAAACAATTACAAAAAAAGTGAGGAGTACCGATGCGTAGAATCATCCCGCGATACCGCACGATGGGAGGTTTGAGGGTTAAGGTTGGAATCGGTGGGAACCCGGATTCGGATGCGCTGACGCCGTAGATGGTGCTCGTCCGCAGGCGCTGGATCCGTAGCTGAGTTCCGACGAATACCTATGAGTTTCGGTGTTGATAATTCAAAATATCGAGTGAACTCACATGATGCTGGACCATAAAGATTAGTACTACAAAGAACGAGACGACATCCACCGTTGACATCAGGAGGGTGCAGAAGTATTGTGTCGCTACAAGCCAAGGGAGAGTGGGGGCTCGAAACCAGCAACTGGCGCCCGCAGCGGACCAACTGCCGAGGCGTTCAACATGTACTCGGATACTTGAAGGGAGCGAATTTCTGCTTACCCGAGTTGACCAGCTGCCCACGGAATACCGTTGCAGACACCACAGAGTAAAAAGGAGCCCATTATATAGAATTTCTCCATCTTGTTGCCGTTAACACCGTGGACGAGGACGAGCCTGATCAGGCGGCATTTAAAATATGAACACAAACAAACAACGAGGAGCACACTGGAGATTGAGTGCGGTGCAGCACACCATACATATAGACATCATGGGGGAGGCCTGAAGCAAGGGGGTCTGAATTTGGTTGTCAATTAAAGATGTTTGCGTAGCACATACTATCGTCAAGAAGGCGACTAGACTGCATGCAGGGCTGGTTCCTTTTATGGCCGAACTTGAACACTGCAATAGACCAAAAAAAACACTGGAGATAAGACGTCGACGTCAGCGGAGGTGATTGCGGAAATGATTCAACCTACTTTGCTATGAGGGCGTAGACAAGCAGTCGAAAACTGACGCGATTCAGATGGGACCTCGAAACTGGGTTCCAGGCCAAATACGCAAAAGCTGCTAATAGAAAGACTGAGAGTGATACCCCTGCGATGACGAGAGAAAGCTTTTCAGCACTGGAGCAGATGGTCAGGCCGGCGCACGCAAGGAAGGCTGGCGTACATGATGTTAGCGAGAAGCCGTTTAGGATTCGACGACATGGTGTTGTAAAAGAAGAGTACGGGGTTGATAGGAAGCCTCGTAAATGAATCCGATGAAACCACGCGGGCAAACTCCTGTCCAAATAGTCTGAGATGGGTTCGAGACACCAACGGGGGGGGGGGGGGGAGGGGGGCAAATGACCTTCTTAGGTAGTATTTCTTCTTGGTTAATCCACTTCTCGACGGACACTTGCTCTGGCGTCTTCTAAGGCTATCCAATTTGAGGTCGAGGGAAGGCCCGGAGTTGAAGAGTCTGAAGAGTCCAAGAAGAGACTCCTTGACTTGAAGGAAAAGGAAGGAAGGAAGGAAGCCAATGCGCAACGCAGTCCAGGCAACATGTCTATCGCTCATTTTGAGGGGTCGTAGTCAAGTCGCCTGAGGCCCTGAATGCTGTGAACGGACGGGGATCAACCACCTGCGCCAGCACATTCGGCAATTCCCGGCCGTCGATAAGGTCACTGGCGACAGAAGATACCACAATGTCAGCTAAATCCGACTTGGGCGGGGATTTGATATTTCAGTGCTTGAATCTTGTGGACTGGCAATCCCTGCCAAACAGATGTCTGTTTGTTCTTTGTTTGTTCTGTGTCGGTCCTCGCTCCAGCCTTCTACAATGACTCTATGACCTCAACCTAAATTTTAGACGGCATATGAGATGAATATCGAGGGAATTTCCCGAACAGAATTTTAAACATTTGCCTAGAAAAAGAGTTATAAATTGCTGTAAATGGCTGTGATTTGACCGTGAAACTCAGAAAGAATTTGCCAGGGTACGAACAAAGGACAAAATAAAAAATCGGCTCGGGACATTCCCTGTGCGAACTGTAAAAACGAAGCAATCTCTCACTCAAAGTGTGGCCAGAATGTTGATAGTTGACGCTGCAGCCCGGTCCGATCGTGAAGTGCCATCAAAACCCTTTCATTGCCAGTCCCTAAGCACAGTGCTTGACTCGTTATTATGAACGGCACGGTAGGTGGGTAAGTAGGTATATTCCGGCGCGGTCCCGTTAAGAAACAGCCGGGGCCCGTACTACATACATCGCGTCAGAATGTATGCTACGGATACTATTCGAGTCGGGGCTAGATGCGCAGTTACCAGTCGATTGCGGTGAGACGGGACAGCTAGCCGTAAACAGCACCCGTGACATCCGTAAAGACGGGTGCGGTGTGCAGTCCCATTGAATCATTGAATCAATGCGTGCTACACCGGGCGTACAAAGCTCCATTTATCACAAAAGTTCGCGATCCTTCATTAAACTGACGCCTAATAAGGTCCGAATAGCAAAAGCCCCGGGAATCAGCTACTCGCAGTCTAGCCCGCAAGGCTCAAACCCACTTGCATCGGGACGTAAAACTCGAAGCTTCCTCCTGCTTGCTCTTTGAAAGTTGTACGATAGTCGTGGATACCTTCTGACAGTGCTTCCGAATAAGTATTCACCTTCACCTGGAGCATATACCAAAATCTGAACCCAACAGACGTATCTGGGGATGTGATGCAACACGGATTGGTGGGTGACCCAAGCGCAGTGATGCATCGGTGCGGCAAGCCACCGATCCGCTGCGATGCATCACCCTATCGACTCAGCGCTGGCTCTCTCCATGTGAAACCGGCCGCGCGGCACCGCGCTTCCACAATCAATCAGTACATCAATACATCAATGCCTCCCTGCGCCCCGCCAGCGCCTCCCTTTCCCGCCGCATCAAATCAACTACATCATTCATCAATACATCAGCCCGCCCCGCCTCGCTTCCCGATTGGGTTCCCGTCCACCCTGGTCCCGCCCCGCCTTGCTGCCCCTCCGGTCACTGAGCCGCTCGGTGCCGTGATCAGCCTGTCACACACAAGCACGCCGCCCGCTGTTCCCACCGTTCCCGATTCGGATCCCGCCCGCCCCCGCCGCGCGCCATTCCCGCCCTGGCTGCCTGGGCTGCCTCTGTGTGCACATTCTATTAATACCTCACTTTTCTCTTTATTTGATGAATTTACACAGCGCCGTGGCAGCGGTATGCAAATTTCTTAAATAAAAGCGATTGCGCTCTATTTTGATGGGCCATCAAAGCTTCCCATTTCAGGAGGCTTTGATGGCCCATCAATTGCGCTGCTTTTCCCCGCCCCGCCTCCCCTCCGCGTTTATTCCTGGTTCATGCTGCAACGCCACCCTTCCACTATTCCTCTATTTCCCATTTGGAAGAATACTATTTGATGCGCCATCAATTCTGCGCCCATTTCTTTGATGGCCCATCAATCGCGCCGCTTTTCCCGTTCCGTCACCCCTCCAGTTTATTCATTGTTGTAACACCTTTTCATCCCCAATTATGCGCCCCCTCGCGATTTTGATGCGCCATCAATTCCATGCCCATTTCTTTGACATCAATCGCTTCACATATATAATCTCAGTAGTGTCTACGTAGACGAATATCAGTGTTAAATTGTTAAAGTCATCTTTACCGCCAAAAAAAGCATGCCTCGGGCAGGATTTGAACCCACACCTCCAGAAGTAGATCGGAATTATATATTGCACATAATATTCTGATGCTCTGTTCCATTAAGCTACCAAGGCTTCTCTGCAACGAGGAAGACCCCGCTCAAAGCCTGTTTCACGCATGCCGTAGTCTAGTATATATAATCAAGGAAAAAATATTATAAGTTCCAGGAACGCCCTGGGCGGGATTCGAACCCGCATCTCCAGATGAATCAATCTGGAATCGTACACAGTTCTGGTGCTCTTCCAGGTGAGCTACCAGGGCTTCCTTGCAGGAATAACGAGCCTGGCTAAACCTTGTATCAGCTACGCCTTAATTTGGGACAAAAAGTCGTCGTATTAAGCAAGAATAATTAAAAGGAATTATAACCTTCAGAATGTGCCAGACAGGAGTCGAACCTGCACCACCAAAACCACATCATTATTGAATATTGATATTAGCCAGCATTTTTTCCACTTGAGCAAGCAGGGCATTGAAGTTCATCCCGCCAATGATGCCAGCTCACCCGAGATATTCCAGCCCATGACCAAAAAAAAAAAATTTCTAAGTTCCTAACTACGCAAATTTTGTAAAAGTCGCCGTTACTCGCTGGTTGAGCAGCAACAGAGTATCTCATCGCTGGTTGAGCAGCATAACCTTTCCGTTAGGGCCTACGTCGCCAGGCTAAGCTCCGGCACCGCTTTTCTCGGCCTGCCTCTGAAGACACATCAGCTAAGTCCAAAATCTCGATCGCCATTGGTACTCACCTAGGCCTTTTTGCAGGTGGCTCCGCACCCGGCTCCTGCACGCCCGCCTTCCTCTTCTTCCCCTCTGCCGCTGCCGTGCCTCTCGCCAGCAACACCGCCTCCGACGCGGCATTTGGATTCGTCCGTGGACGCATGTTCTTCACCACCCGCGCTGCTGCGCTACCGTCGCGCATCACCGTCGCTCTGCGCGACCACCGCTCTGGAAGTGGTTCGGGGTTGATCAACACCACATTTGGTGTCTCGCCATTGGGATTGGGCGTCTCGTAGTAGCCCCTCGCTTTCGCCTCCATCAGCGCCGCCGCCTGCTTCACTCGCTCCTTCTCCAATGCCTCCTTCCTCTGCCGGGCCTCCACCTGCCTATTGAGCTTCATCGTCTCGTTCCCCACCGTATACACCAGTACCGGCTCCGCTGCAGGCGCCCCCGCCACCTGATTCGTGGCATCCCCCAAAGGAAGCACCCCCATCTCTGCTGCCACTCTCCCTCCCCCTGCTCCTCCACGCCCACCCCCGCGTCCTCTCCCTCTCCCTCTACCCCTTCCTGCCCTGCGCACCCCTGGCGGTTTTGGCATTTTGGCCGCGGGACGAGATTGAGGGTATCCGTCGTCGTCTTGGTCTGCGTCTTCCGCAGTAGCCGCGCTGGCGCGCATGTGCTCCCCTGCCACCGGACCCGTCGTGCTCGTAGTCGTGAGCACCATGGTCAAAGTCGTGGGCATCATAGGTGTGGTCGCCGTGGTCGTGGTCGCCGCAGGCGAAGTCGCTGTCCTGGGTTCAGGTGCGGGTACGGGCGTCACAGTCGGTGGAGTCAATTGTGGCGCTGCGGCGGGTGTAGCAGTTGTCATCATTGACGGTGGAGTCGGAGTTGTAGTCGGTGCGTGCACGATCGCCAGAATCCCTGCCATTGCGTCAGCGGCACGGCTCACAAATGGGACGCTGGGACGCGGGCGCAACGGGCTCGACCAAGCCTTCCTCCGCAGGCTCGCAGGTGCACTGCCCACGAGTGGCGACTGCAGTTGTTGCCCACCCTCAAACGCCTCCATCAAGATGCTGCGAGGGTACGCGCTACTGCTCCCCCTCGGCGTCTGTGGTCCCGCCCCTCCGTCTGGTCGTCCGCGCTGTGACACCCCCGTGAAGAAGAAACCGTCGCCAGCTTTCCCCGCATCACCCAGACAATCATTCGGATGGGGCGCGCCTTTGAAGCAAGCGCGCGGTGCGGGGCGCTCCGGTCTGTGTGTCAGGGAAGGCAGCGCACCCATCGCAGGCTGCGAACCATTCTGCAATGACAAGGGCCGCGGGCTCGAGGGATCCAACGCAGGCAGTGTCAGGCTTGCTGCCCACTCGTTGTCCACGGCCGTCCACCAGCTGTCCCCTGCGCTATCCATCCCCACGTCGCCATCCAAGAAAGGGTCCTCGTCCCTGGATCCGCCCCACGCGCTCTCCACATCTGGCACCTGGCTCACATTGTATGGCACCCCAAAAGCACCATCCACCCCCGGCCGCGAACTTAGCGCCAAGCCTGTCTCAGACGCGTGGCCGAGCCCTGCATCCCCGCTGACCGGAGTAACAGCCAAGGTTGAGGTCGCTGATTCAGACACAGGCGTCGTCGCAAATACGGAGGTCTGGCTTTCAGCAGGTGGAGTCACAAACCCGGAGGTGTGGGGTGAGGACGTAGGAGCAGCAGGAATCGGGGTCGTGCCAGCGGTCGTCGTTGTAGATGTGACTTGAGACGTAGATGATGCAATGGATGTTCTCGTCTTGCTCGCTTTAGGCTTCGGCACACATTTGGGCTTGGTTTTCGCGGCGGGTTTCGCGGGGGGTTTCGTTGTAACTGGAGCAGCCTCGTCGCTCGTCGATTCCGGCTCAGCTGCTGACGCCTCAGGAGCCAGAGCCCGCTCCCTGCGCTGTGCTTCCGCTGTCAAATACCTAGATTAGTCGCACTCTATCAGTGAAGAATCAGACTCACAAAAGATGCGCTGGAGGAATTCTGCAAAAGGCTTGGTCACCGTTTGCTCAAAGTCGGCGCAAGAGGCTTCGAAGTCGTTCCCATTCGCGGTTTCACCGAAGCAGATGCTGAAAGAAAAGGCTTCGTAAGCTGTATGTCTGAATTAGGCAATTCGCGACTTGCACTTTGAAGGTCAACTGGCCACCCATGCGAGGGGTTGGCCCGCCCACAATGGTCACCCCAACCCAGCCCGACATCTCATGACCGACTACGTGGGCGTCCTTGAATAGATTTTCCACCGAATCGATTCCCCTGCGTTCATCATTCAGCAAATCATGCATTCACGAGCTGGCTGCGCGAACCCTTACCTTTGATAATCTTTTGGTGTCTTCTTGTTGTCCAGTCACTGCTGCTCCTCCTCCAACTGCTTCCTTGCTAGATTTCTCTTCTCGGTCTCGACCTCGCGCTCCACCACCTCCCGATCTTCGTCCGACAATTCAGCCCACATTTCCGTGACCACTTCATTCCACAACGACATCCTCTCCGACCTCGACATCTTCACATGGCCCTCCTGTTCCTCCAACGTCTCCTCGTCGTCGTCGTCTTCCCTCATCGCCCGCCTCACCGCTACCCCGCTCCACCAACCTAGCGTCAAGCTCGGTCTTATACAAGATCTGGAACATTTCCACCACTTTGTGCGCGCGGTGCCCCGCCGGTGCCTTCATCTTCGACATTAGCGTCTTAATCAAGTCCGTCTCCGGATGTCGGTGAGCTCGTGGTACGCCGCGCGTCTTTCCGCAAATTTTTCCGTGCTCACACCTGAACCAGCTCGCCAGTTGCTATCGTAGGGATTAGTATTATGTCACTTAAACATGTTCACCTCCCCGCTTACCTTTTTCCGAACGATAATCACATCTCCCAGTTGCCCAACCTGCTCGCGCGTCAGCACCGGCGCGTTCGGGTCACTTGGCAGCAGCAAGCCCAATTGCTCTTGTTCGGGGAACCTTGCGAACCAGGCTTCCTCCGTTGCACCCCAGAACAAGTGTAGTTTCCCTTCGGCATGGCGCCGGATATAGTCGGGCAGCTGCAGATGTAGCCACGCAAGGTGTTGTGCGTCTGCCCAAGGTTTGGGCGCCATACCAAATCACAGAGAGAGATTTCGCGAGTGGGTCGACAGGTGCAGGAGTGAAGATTTTACAATTTCAAGTCGGGTTCCAATCTCACTTTCTCCTGAAATCCTTGCCTCCCTCCCTTTTTCCGCCTGAAACCGTGCTATATCGGCCCTCACTCCATCAATATCCCGTGCATCACGACTTTAAACCCATATCTGATCCCCGAGTACAACCCCAAAGCAGCCCGCATGACTTCTCCATCTGGATCGCGGCCGCCATCAGCTTCAGCCTTGTGCATTGCACCAGGCCTGTCGCTTGAACCAGTTGCCAAGTTGCTATAATGGTCACAATTAGCAATATCTAACCCTCTTGGGTACGACACTCACTTTTTTCCGCTGCACCCTCATGTACTCGGGCATCCACAGCTGCAGCCAAGCCCCCTGCTCAGTATTTCTCCACCATGATCTGGGTGCCATATGGTTCAGGGATTGTCGCAATCGCCATCGCCATTTTATCCCTCATTTATTGTTAATCAGAACTATCCCAATCTGTCGTTTGTGGCACGGCCGCCGGGCCCTTATCCATCTCATCTCGCATCTTGCAATCACCTTATCTTCCAACCCGATTGCAATCCTTTTCCCCTCACTTCTTTCCTTTCTGCCCTCGCAATGTCTACCCCTCCTTCCACTCCAACGATCGCCCCCAACCCTGCCGAAGAGTTGGCGGCGCTTGTTGCCAAAGTCGACGCTTTGTCCAAGCTCGCGTTGGACATGACCAAGCTCGCTATCAACATCAATCGTCAGTCCTTTCTCCCGGCCTTTCGTCGCTGCTTACTGACTCAATATCCTCAGAGGCCATTCCCGCCGTCGTCACAGCCCAAGTCGCCACAGCGGTGGCACTCCTCGCTCGTACGTTATACCTTCCTCTTTTCACTACCATTTCACTTAATACTTCTTGCAGCCTCCCCTCCTGCCTTCACGCATAGCCAAGGCCGAACTCCGGGGCAGATGGAGATGGCTTTTCCCCTCGGCTTCGGCGACCAGCAGTCCTGGTACGTCGTGATTGTCGGCCGCGAACCCGGGTTGTATGGCAGCTCGTAGGTTTTTCCATCTCCCGATATATCCGACTTAGGCTCACGTCCCCACCCCCAGCGCTGAAGCCGATGCTCAAGTCAATGGCATTCCTGGCCAGTTCCGCCAGAAGAAGAGCAATCGGCTCGAGGCCCTGGCGTTCTACTGCCACCGTTTCCTCGACGGCACCGTGGACAAGGTCACCCCGATGTAGTGGTAGTATTTACAGTGGTAGTATTTACATAGTCGTTTGTGTCTCCTCAATACAAGCCCTCGTTTTACTTCTCAACTCCGAACGTATTTGTGTTACCTATCTACCTCTCATTTGCAAGGGGATAATCACATTAATTATGATTCGCGATGAAAATGGCACTTTGATTCGCGTTCCACTGATATA